GAAAGCAGGCTCAGAAGTTGGGAATACGTGGAAAGTCACCACTCCCGAATGAGTTCGCGCGAGAGAACGTAATATTTTTGTTTTAAGTCGGTTTGAACAATCCGGATAAGCGCAAGTGTGGTGTCGTCTGCCGCTCGTCTGAGGAACCACACTCAGTCTTGAGTTTTGATGCCAGAAGTGGAAAGTCATCACTCCCGAATGAGTTCGTGCGAGAGAACGTAATCTTTTAGTTTTAAGTCGGTTTGAACAATCCAGATAAGCGCAAGTAAGTACCATTTTGATTAGCCATCGTACCTAAAATGACTGTGCACTGTGTAAACAATGAGTGACGTATACGTGCGAGAGGCAAACATATCAAAAATGCGTGCGCCACTCAGTAAAAGCGTCTACGGTAATTCACGTAGGCCAAAACACACAAGGAAAAAAATTTAATCGGCAATCACAGACATTGGCATTCGGACGGAATTAGTTTTCTCAAAGGATCACTGAGTTTGCCAAAAAACAGTAGGTAATTTGCTCTGGAATTATTACAGAGGTCTTGTGAGAAAAACACCAACGTGGCCGATTCGGACGGGATTAACATCACAAAGTACGTCTGTGAAAGACAAATTTCTCTAACGACCCCCTGTAAAACTAGTCCCGTCCGAATAGGGCTACAGTATTTAAAATAAAAGACAAAAACACAACAAAATTACTATAATTTTAAGTCAAATTTAAATGAAAACAAACACAAAAACTGAAAACTAATTCAAAATATTTAAAAAGTATATATCATAGTATCTCAATAGCACTAAAACAACAGTGGTCTGTTCCTCATTAAGATATTGCATGACTACATGGAATATAACACAACACAGCACATATTTGTACTTTTATGTTGCTTTTTTATGGTACTTTTATGTTGCTTTTTTGTTTCTGAAACTTCACAGGCAGTGTACACAATGTATACTTTTACAATATGGAAAAGAGCGTGTGTGAATATTCTTCAAAACTTCTCCTTTTGTGTTTCACAGAAGAAATAAAGTCATATGGCAACATGGAAATCCGTTAATAATAAAAACATGAATTTTGAGGTGAACTATTCTATTAAGCAAATGGGAAATAATGTTTATAATATAAACATTAAATCTTAGTTAATTATTATATTATATTAATTAACTACTGTACTGTATGTACTATTGGGTTATGGATAGGGATGGTTGCTTATAATTATGCATAACTTACTGCTAAGTACATATAACATGTAACTACATCAACTTAAAGTGTTACCTAATTTATTTACTATATTATTGATGTATTCCTTTTATTCATACTAGAAATACATTTCATTTAAAATTCATTTAACCACATTATTACATAATGAATTCCTCATATAGGATGGCTAAAGCAGCTTGTCTGGGCTTTGTATGTTCCATCATGACATACAGAAATAGAATCAATGATCCGACTGAAATCGAAAAGAACACTTTTTTGTGCGCCTGCACCATATGACCTACTTGGTTCAATACTGAGGGCGATGGTAAATTTAGCAGGCCTAATTTACAGCCGTGTGACCCAGCACTAGACAGCATCAATGCACTGGAACAGCACACAGCCCATTTAGATGCTTGTTTGAGCTTTATGTTTCAATAAAGTGATGTTTGTGTGTGCTTTCTGGTACTTCATATCATGCTTTGTGTTTTTTCTGTGTGTTGAAAACATCAAGTAATGATAACAAACCGGTTTCAGCCTGATAGTGAGCTTAAACTGAGAATCATTTCAATCGATTATATGCATACTGGGATAGTTCAACTAGACACTAAAAAGCAAACAACATCAGAACAACAAAATTGTTATTTTTAAATGTGTTATAGGCAAAATATGATTACGTCAATAGCGTAACCTTGGGTTGCATTTGGAGTCATATCTTTTCAACTTTTTCATTAATTCATTCATTCATCCATTCGTTCATTCATATTTTTTTTTATGTTGATGATATTTCAAATAAAGCAGTAGGCAATCATTTGGAAGCTGTCTTGAATTCTCAATACATGTTGGCACATCAATGTTTTTTCAGCCCTGTAGCTTGTTTTGTCAGTGTTCAAGAATCAGTGCGCAGTGTATTTTGAGCTGTATCGATATCCATAACCTACGATCAGCATGATTTATAGTACTTTAAAATGTTATAGAAAGATCACGTCTCTTTCAGGTCTTAGAGTTCAGCTCTCCTCTCGTAAAACGCTCATTCCCTTCAGCTGTTGCCCATGTGCTCAATCACGCCATCAAGGATGAGCTCATTTATGTGGCAAACACACATTGTCCATGTTTTTCGAGAGAGACCCTGCAGGCTGCTCAGAGAACATCCACTGGTGCTGTCATTGATGTTTATGAGGGGGCGGAGTCAAAACTTGAGTGCATGTGAAAGTATGGTGGGAGGAGTTACATCACAGTCACTCGATACAAGGGATGACCTCTGTAGGATCCCCAAAATAACCCTACAAAGGGTATATAGGACCCTGCTCTAACCTTCACTCTCAAAAGAGCAGACTGTACAGACCGTGCAAATAAAGTTGATGAAACAAGTGGTGATGGGACAGATAAACTAACCAAACTTGACAAGAAAACGAATCCCCCCCAATAAGGAACAGATTCCTCTGGAACAGTGACATTATTTCAGACTTGAAGCGGATTGTAAAAACTGAAAACAGTGTGAACCCAAAGTCAAGGTTCAAGATCTCCCCAAAACAGGATTTTACTTTTGCGTGGAGCTTGACTTGAGTTTCAGAGTGTCTTTTGTCCTCCTCTTGAGCCTAGAGCCGAGGGGGGAGGCAAAGCCGTGGCGTCTGCGGGAATGAAGTACAGCTACCAGTACCCGGTGTCACAGTACACACGCTCCAGCACACACTACACCTCCACTCATTACACACCGTCACACTACTCCAGCAGCTCGTACTCGCCCGGATACTACAGTTCCACAAAGTACAGCCCGACTACACTCCACACGCCATCATACCACACTCCACCGGCTTACACACCTGCCTACAAGCCCACCTCCACTTACACCCCCATCTATAGCAAGGCGTCCCAGCTGTGCAGCTCAGCCCGGACAAGCGTACAGCTTACTCCTACTGTAGCCCTCAAACCCGCCCGGGCTGTGCGTTTCACGAACGATGTCGTATTCCAGGATTTGGTCCGGCACAGCGAGCTGGAACAGATTGGTCGGTTTATGAGGGCGAGGAAAGTGCGTCTGGACACCATCTTCCATTCTGGTGAGTGAACCTCACCTTTCATACATCGAGTGCAAACAAATTCATTCACTTGTTTAATCTATGATCGCCAGTCCCAGCGTATTTCAGTGTGTTAAAATTAAGTAAACCATTTGTAGGTCAACTTCCTGTAGAGTGTAAACACTTTTTTGGCTTTATGGCATGTTTAAAACATAGATCAAACATAGCAGTCTGACATGTCAACTTCTGGTTTAACCAATCGTAGGAAGTTGAGGCAGGGCCAAAGGGGGGCTAAGCTTCAGCAGTTATGGTGCATCTACGTCATGTTGGAAAGATCGTATTCATGAGTTAATTGCACATGAACATCACAACAGAATTATGAGCTTACGAGCTGGAAACTCAAGATTTTCTTGGAGGCCAGTCAGTGGAAAAACATGCCGAATGCAATAGATGCAGTATCTGTATTGATGGTAAATTTGTTCAAATTAGTCTTTTTTTTTTCATTTACAATAAAACTACGTTGCATGAACAAAATACCATAGTATTGTTCAATTACGATTGTTAATTATGACTATTTATATGATGATTTACAAATGCACATTTTGAATTTATGATTTTGTAGATGTAGTGTTAAAAAAATCTTGTTGAATTTTATTCACAAAATGTACACCACCATTTTGCTCCAACCAAAGTTATTCGTACGCACTTGGCATCGTAATTACGACATTTCATAAATGCGAACTTTCCAGGAGGTCTTTAACACACTATTAGCCTCTTTTAGCAGATGCTGTAAATAAAAATAAAAACATGTTACTCCTTGGATATCTTTTAAAAGTAGCCGAATATTCTTACTAAAAAATGGTTTTCACAAAAATTCGATAAAAAATGTGCAAAAATTTTACCTTAAGGGGAATAACAGTTTGTCACCAGTGTTGGGGGTAACGCATTACAAAGTAACACGAGTTACATAATCAGATTACTTTTTCAAGTAACTAGTACTGTTTCATTTACAGTAAAATATCAGAGTTACTTTTTCAAATAAGTAACGCCAGTTACTTTTTTTACATTTGTTGACTGACAGATCTCCTTTCCCCATGTTGAGAGATACTCTAGATTAGATTACTCTAGATAAACATTTGTGCTTCTTTTTTTATTGCTGAAGTGTGTTTAACTTTCTTTTTTTATTGTTCTACTTGCTTATTAATTTCACTTTTGATGTGAAAGGGCTTTTACGTTTTATATTAAAAACAAACACGCAAGCCCTGCCCAGATTTAAAAAGTAACGCAAAAGTAACGCAACGCATTACTTTCCATAAAAAGTAATTACGTAACGTATTGTAGTATTGTAATGCATTACTTTTAAAAATAACTTTCCCCAACACTGTTTGTCACTAGGGCAATACCATTAAAGGGACAAATTTTAACCCCTAAAAAGTGCATAGTTGTACCTTCGAGTAGTAGTGTGCACCTATAAGGTACTACTAAAACTTTTTAGGGGTAAATAAGGTGCAAAGAAGTCCCTTTGAGGGTGCTGCCCTAGTGATGAGGTTTATTTTTATATGTTGGCTTCAAGGAGTTCTAATATAGAGTGATCAGTCGCATGATGGCTCAGATGATTGGTTAAAAAGTTTTCCAGAAATTATTGCATATGGTAGAACAATTCAAATCACAGATTTCTACAGCTGTATGCGCCAGCTGAGCAACTGGCATTAAGATGAACGGGAACATAAATGGATAGCGGCGTTTGCCAAATAATAGACAATTCGGGGGATTATTTTGGGATTATGTTTGGTATGGCACAGAAATTACACTCTAAACTTTGAAAATTTATAGTTTTTTATTTGTCTTTTTAGATATAAACAGTTAAAGCGTATGGTATCTGTTTGAGTCTGGGGTATTTTCTGGAAAGGTTTAATCTCACTGCTATCTGGAAAGAGAAACTGAGCAGCCCACCCTAACAAAAGATGGCTTTTTCTCAGGAATGGCAGCACTCCATGAAGCCGTGCTTTCAGGAAACCTGGAGTGTGTGAAGCTCCTGATAAAGTACGGAGCTGACGTTCACCAGAGGGACGAGAACGGCTGGACGCCACTGCATATGGCGTGCAGCGACGGTTATCCTGAGATTGCACGGTGAGAACAAACTCATACATGCACAGTCCAATAAGCAATATCAACAAAAAAAGTGACCATTGGAAAACAAATTAGTATTGCATTTAATTCAAACCTTGCAAAAACAAATGCAAATTAAAACCATGTAAGTTCCAAATAACACTGTCAACTACTGTCTAAATAGGCACTTTCCTTTTAAGGCAACAATCTTAACTGAAATAAACCTCATGAGTGACCAATATGCAGTCATTCAAACAATACTCATTATAAGACACTTCTGCAGAGACCTGACTCTCAACTGATTTCAATAGAGTTTAGAATGTTGCTAAGCTAATAGTATTATATTGGGTAAAGTGGTCAATTTTTTATTTAATTTACCTATATTTTTATTGTGAGCAGTACTGGGTCGGGGAACAGAGCCATTAATTATAGTTTAGCATTCATTTTATCCCCCTTGTGAAAATAAGTGTGCTTAACTTAATAACTAAAATAAAAGGCCACTTAAGTGTACTTAAAGAGTACACTTAATAACTATAATTATAAAATAAAAGGCCACTTAAGTGTACTTAAAGAGTACAATTTCATGACTGTTTCACACTTAAGTACACTTAAAAAGTGCTCTTTGTAATAACATCAAATCAAACGTTTTACTTTAAAATACATTTTAAATCATAATTTTTTCGTATTCTTTACACACTTGTTTTGATGTGTCGACAATAGAAGTAAAAATTAAATTACAAAAATGTCCTGTTTATGAGTTCCAAATAAGCACTCTAAAGTTCAGCTAAAATAGAAATTCAAACTATAATACATGTTCATTTAATTGAAGTTAACATCAATTAAGTGTCCAAAAACATTAGTTCAGTTGAACTTAAGCATATTATTCCTGTAATATGTTCTCTCTCTTTTTTTTTTCAAGTTTGCCAAAGTGTACTTATTTTTTTCAAGGGTATATTATCAGATTGTTACTGTTTGCTAAATTAGTTGTATTAAAATGTAAAATATAATTCCTCCTTTAGGTACCTTCTCTCTCTGGGTGCCAGTGTGGAGGCCGAGAATGAAAATGGGGAGAAACCAGCAGACCTCATCGACGCAGACTGCAAAGAACTGCTCAAGCTCTTCGAGACAGGCTGTGTTTGAGTGCTGACCCACGGAAGAACTTGAAAAAAAAAAAGCTAGCTTTCAAAAAACATTCAGATCACTCTCCTGAGCTTCGCATTTTGTGTGGTTCTCCTGAATATTCTTTATATCTTTTTTTTTGGGCTTTTAGCTAGACACAACATTATTATACAGTACAGAGGGACACCAAACCCTGCATATCTGTTTGCTTTTGAAGTCATTTAAGTATTTCTGAGTGAAACACAGTATTGAACGAGGAAAAATGAAAGGTGGGACTTTTATCCATTGGGAATAGATTGGATTATGAAAAGTGGGTGTATATACCGCAATGCAGTCAGATGTTTTGAGGGAAGGTTTTCTAATGTCAGAAAAAAAAGAAAAGTTGTTTCAGAGGGGGAGCAAGTTATTAAACTTTGATAAAAAATAAAGAAGACAAATGGAATAACATACACAATAAGACCAGGAATGTTTATGTAAAACATGCACTTGTCAGAACACGCCAACCGACACTTTCTTCATCACCATACATTCGCACAAACCAGCATCTCTCAAATGTTTACAGACAGATCTGCAATTGTTCTTTTTCACTGCTGTGTTAACCATACCTTGCACCAGGGGTCCCTTTGACATGCTCTTGATTGTTATCATTTTCACAATTCAGAAAAGTGATCTTTTATGTGACAAGGGATACAATCCTGTTTATGCAAAGAGATGCTTGCTGAGAAATGCACAGCCCAGAATGAAGCGTGGTGCCGTCTGTCTGCTGGGCAGCAGGAGAGCACAGAACCACAACCTGCCATCAGACTCGCTTATGAAGAAATACTGAGGCTTTGTGCATTACTGTTAAAAGTGAGGGCACTACTGACATTTTGAATGTCTCTTGTCAAAGTCTTATCTTTATCTTATTTTTTACAATGTTTTCATAAATAAAGCTGCTTTTATATAAATATTGAGTTGTGATTTGCATCAAACACTTTGAAGATTATAAAAACTTAATGCTGCCTAACTGGAATATAGAGATGACTTCATTTACTAATTTATATTAGTGCTGTCTCAAACAATTAATCGCGATTAATCGCATCCAAAATATAAGTTTTTGTTTACATAATATATGTGTGTGTACTGTGTATATTTATTATACATATATAAATACACACACATGCATGTATATATTTAAGAACAATATGTTATGTGTATATATTACATATATTTATATATAATATAAATAATATGAATATAAATTTATACATGTATTTTCAAAATATACACTGTATGTGTGTGTATTTATATATACATAATAAATAAACACAGACAGTACACATACATATATTATGTAAACAAAAACTCTTATTTTGGATGCGATTAATCGCGATTAATCGCTTGACAGCACTCATTTATATTTTTTCTCTCTGGCAATATTTGATATAGGTCTTGATCTATGTGCTTCAAAAGGTTATGATTTTCAGAATCTTCATTTCAGCAACATTCACTGTTGCCAAGTAGATTCAGAAAACAAAACAGTGAAAATATGTATTAAAGTTAAATAAAAATAATCAAATCATGTTGTTTTTCACTAGCTAAACACAAGGAAGAATGATATTTAGTCATTTGCGTGATGCACCTATAAAATAAGACACAGTAATAAATGTCAGCTATTTATCAACGTTCATTTTACCAATACATCCTGATATAAATGATGCAACCTCATAAAAGTGTATGTCACAATATGTGACCCTGGACCACAAAAGCAGTCATAAGTAGCACAGGTATATTTGTAGCAATAGCCAACAATACATTGTATGGGTCAAAATTATCAATTTTTCTTTCATGCCAAAAATCATAAGGATAGTAAGTAAAGATCATGTTCCATTTTAGAAATCTTATCCAAGTTGTAGGCTAGTCAATATTGGTCAGTCAGTCGTATCTGACATAAAGGATCCGCGAATGAAACTGTGACCACAAACACATACCATTAATTAAGTGAATTATATGGCAATAATCAGCAATATGCTTTCACACAAATAACTTTATTTTTTTAATGTTTCAATATGTGTTGACACAAATGACTTATTTGAATTTTTCCATTGATACAAATATGGTTGAGTTGGTGAGTTTATATGAGTTGTTAGAAAAGAAATGCGTAGAGACGTTATTGCTTGATGACATCAGGAACCGATTAATCGGCTTTTTGAACTGGTTCCATGAGCCGATCTGTCAGAAAAGTACCGGTTCGCGGAAATGAATCGGACTTTGCAATAAATCACATGTGACAGTCCTGCGTTTTACAGCCAATCAGAAACGCTGTCAATTGTTTTGCATATTCAGGTTTGATATCATCGGGTTCAGGGATTGAAAGTAATTTTTTCACTCACCAGCCAATTTGGCTACTAAATTTTTAAGTTACCGGCCATTCATAACTTCTACTAGCCAAA